AATTTCCCAAATGGAAGGAATGACTCTCTTTTGAATGTTCTGGGAGATTAACCCCTTTTTGGGGCTTCTCCCTGCTCAGAAGAGATGGGATTTGAGTAATCTTTGGCAGCTCCATCACCCAGGGGAAAAGGGGCGACAAATCTGTGGGAGGCAAAGCAACATGGGCATGCCTCTAGAATGGCTTTAGCCTACTGAGTTATTTTTGTCTGCTATGACCTGCCTCTGCACTAGACAGATTCTCAGAGAAGTCATCTGTAAATTTCATCCTGGTAGCTCAAATGCCTCAATATTTTTTTGTTAGTTTTCAGTGAATGAAATAGAGAAAATGAGTTATTAAATGACTAAAATGAAAGTTCATCATGTAAAACAGAACTAGTTCTTTCTGAAAGGTATGCCAGAAAGGGAGAGATGCTTTGTTGCAGAAGGGCACCAAATGAACATCATGACACCTGTGTGTTAGGCTGATGTAATGCAATTTTCTGACCTTAGAAATGGTTGTTAGGTTCTTAATTGTTTGTTTCCTTGGAGCAAATATATCACTATGTTGCTTTCTTTTCTCAGGTCTTTCCAAACTTAAAAATTAAAGAAAATTCCTTGTGATCCGTAAAATAACTATGTCATTGACAGACACTTGGAAGGGTTAAATGAAGAGCGCCTCTTGACCATCTGTTTTTTTCAGGAACCTCATCAGAGCCCGTTTCATGTCATTGTTCCTCAGGCTGTAGATTACAGGATTAAGTACTGGAGGTATCACAGTGTAGATCACAGACAGTAGCCTGTCAATCACAGATGGTGTATTTGAAGGTGGCTTGAGATAAACAAAATAGGCTGTTATGACAAAAACAGTGAAAACAATGAGATGGGGGAGGCATGTGGAGAAAGCTTTTGACTGACCTTTAGTGGTAGGAATCTTCATCACAGTGGAAAAAATATAAATGTACGAGATCACAATACAGATGAAACAAGACATGCCTAAACACGTACCAACTCCAATACTTGTATAAATTATTATGAGTGTTTCAGAGCAGGAAATCCTTAATAATGAAGGAATGTCACAGAAAAACTGTGGGATTACACTGGAGCCACAAAAAGGCATGGAAAATGTGCCAGCTGTGTACACAGTTCCAAAGAGTCCTCCAACAGCCCAGGAAACACTTGCCATAAACGCACAGGCCTCCCTATTCATGATGACCTCATACTGCAGGGGGCAGCAGATGGCTACATAGCGGACATATGACATGGCAGTGAGGACAAATATCTCACCTGCTGAGAAGGAAGTCATTAAAAGTAGCTGGAAGGCACACCCTAGGATGGAAATGGAATTGTTGTGAGTTAGGCTGTTGACAATGTACTTTGGGATTGGGACAGACACAAGAAAGATATCCAGCAAAGACAAGTTCTTCAGGAAAAAGTACATGGGTGTTTGCAGCTGCAGGTCTAGAGTAATGAGAGTGATAATGAGAAGGTTACTCATTAGGGCTGCCAGGTAAATCACCAGGAAGAGCATGCCATACACAGTCTGCAGCTTGCAGACATCAGAAAAACCCACAAGAAGAAATTCTGTTACCAAGGTAACATTGGCCATACTAGATCCTCTTCACTGCCTGTCAAGGTGAGGAGATATGCGAAAAAAAAATTAGTCTTCACCATCTGACAAAGGTCATATTGATGCACTGTTGAGAACGAGTCATGCAACTACCTTAAATACTTTTGCATTTACTTAAAAGTTCATTGTTTATATTTTTAAAGGTAAAGCAATTCCATGAGTAATGTGTGAATTCATTGAGTCCTTAGGAAAGTTTTACCTGATCCTGCAGCCTCAATTATCCCTTGTTACAACACGGATGACTTTACTAAACACAGAAGTGTTCCCAACCCAATGGGCATTTGCATCAAACTATTATTATGCCACACTTCATGACAAATTTTTTGCTTTCAGAAAATCAATCAAAAGTCTCATGTCTTCAGAATGTGTTAGTATCTTTAATACTCTATACAGGAACAAAAAACCTGCTCTTATATTGTTACAATCATGAACTCATGCTTACACTTGTATTAAATAATCCAACAGAGGCAAATAACTTTCTTTATTCTTACATCTGTGAGCAAGGGAATATAAACAAGAATTTGTTGTTCAGTGTTTATGATATCTTGAGGTCACGCAATCCTGACATATTGAATATCTCATTTAGTATGGGAAGAAAAAAATGAGTTATTTAGCAAAATTTCATGTCCTTTGAATGCACACATTGTATAGTAGAGCCACATTTGCTTGAGGGCTTCCTCGTCGAAAAAGGAATCTTGAGAGGGTGCTATAACAAAATGCCTTTCCCATCATGACTGAGTGTTTTTTTCGTTATCGTATTATGTTGTTTGTACTTCACTTTTTAATACTATAAAATATCTTCTTTTGATGTTTGAAATATTTTTCTAGATAATCAGTTACTGATGAAAACTTATTTATTCTTTATTGAAAAGATAAGAAAGCATCCCATATGAATCAGACTCCAAACTAAACGGGAGAAATTTTTTAAAAATTAAGATTTTTTGCTGGGAAATTACTTAGAAAGGGAGGAGGCCTAAATTAAAGAGCAAATAAATCAGTAAACAAGAAAACACTCAGATGGTGACAGATATTATTAAGATA